CCTTCTGGAGTAGGGTACCATGTCGATGGCGGTGGAACGGTTGTTCATATGGTGATCGAGTCACTTTGGAGGGTTTCGAAAAGGCGTAGTTACCGACGCTGAATACCCCATCAACAACAAGGGAGCATGTGAGGCTGGCAGGGAAGGGGGCAGGGGTGACAGTGACCAGGGCGATTTGGGAGGGGCGAATGGACTTCGGGGGAAAATAGTGTCAGCAGCGGCGAGGGCATGGAGGCTACGATTCATCATCTTCGTCGCTAGAATTGCAGTAATCGTGGTCCCCATGCCCTCCCCACTTCGTCTCGCTCGCACCCACCTCCCAGGTACATCTTCCAGCCCCCAGCGCTCTGAAACATCCCCCCCGCGCACGTGATTGCCGCCTCTGAAGCTCCCTCGTTGTTTCTTCTGGATTCTTCAGTATTCACGAAGGTGTCGGCTTGTCCAATCCCTCCGACGTCATTAGATCCTGGACCGAACACGAGGCTCGCGGCATAATGACTATGCCACACCAGAGTCTTTGCCCCTTTCGTTGTGGTTGTTGTTGTGGTTGCTGTCGTTGTTGCTGTCGTCGTCGTTGTATCGTTCGTTGTCATTAACCGGTATTGATGGGTGCTTATTGTTTGCCTCTACGCATACACGTCCAACGGGAAGAACGACAAGCCGGTCCTTCACGTCGAGAACACGGCGGCATGGACGCGGACGGCGAGATACACGGCATGAGGATCTCGGACGACGGCGTTCGAATGTAACTGTCTACTCTCGACAGTTCGTGAATGCGGCAGGGAAACTCAGCAGGCGGGGTAGGTTGGTTGGTTCGGTAGGTTGACCGCACGGTAGTTTTTTAACTTCAACCTTACGACTACCGCTTGCATCTCAAGCAAGACCAGCGTAAGACCAGCGTAAGACCAGCGTACGTACGCGCAGGATCCTTCGGGAAAGTATAGTGGAGACCTGAAGGGTGATACACTCGCGGATTTTTGCTGGACCGGGGACACAGCAAAGCAGTTGAGGTTGATCCAGGGATTCCCCCCAGGGTTTCCAAATATTAGTCCTACACCTTGTTTGAGCGCATCGATCACGGTGAAAGGAACCAACGAAACATTAGCTTATCTTGCTACATTTGGGTTTTATGTCAGGGTAGGGTTGGGTGGGTCGGTCGGTCGGTCGATCGGGCGGCCTTGGTTCGTCGATCGCCCCGTAGTCGCTGCGTCGTTCGTCGCCGCTGTTGGGCGCGCTTGTCTACTTCGAAAACCGCTTCATGTCGAGGCCACCTCCATAAAGGTTCAAAAGCACAAACAAGAAGAAGTCTCGAAAAGGGGGGGGGGTAATATGGAGGCCACCATCATACCATTTCCCCAACGTCTGTTGAGGACGATTCCCTCTATCACCTTCATACCTGTAACTGCTGTTGTCTTTGTATGCCGTCCCATCTACTCTTGGCGCCGGTGGACACTGTCGATACACATTTGACGCACCAGTACATACTGTACTCACCGTCTCCCCCCGAAAATAGGAATGGACGTCGTTGGTCTAGACTATCCTGGTACGGGCGGGTACACCTACTATAATACCTGTCGTTGAAATCAAAACACGATCATTATGTATCGTGACAAGAACTTGACAGCCGTAAAAAGGCAGATATTTTGCTCGAGTTGGGGCAGCCTAAAAGCCACGAGCCTCGCGCAAAATAAGGAGTGTGGCGTGCACAAAAGAGGATCACAGACAGGACGAGAGGTATGATGTGCTTACAGCAGTATCTACATGATCAGAGGATGATGATGGCTGGCCGTGTGTGCGTGGTTGCAGTTAGTTGTGGTGCAGCACGCAGGCGAGATCAAAACTTACTTTCACGTTGAGATTACGCAATCGCAGAAGAAACAGCTGAACAATACAAGACTCCTTAGAAACGAGCTGTCGGCCACCCGTCGATTACAATAAGGTAGCGATGTGGTGCAACTTCTGTACAGCGTATGTATTAGTCTATAGCAACCTCTTTCAACCAGCCCATGATGGATTTGTATGTACGACCATTCACGGCACGACACGCCGTCGCCCCCTCCCCCCCTCCACTCATCAACGCCAAGCCGTGATGCCTCTTCCCGCCACCACGCCAGGAGACATGGAGAACGAAAACATTTGCCCAAAACACGGACAGCATCCATCGCACGACAGCGAGACGCATTGCACGCGAGAGGGAGGAGACAGTGAGCCAGGTGGATCCGGCGGGGCCCAGCTTGAATCATGCCAAGGGCAAAGCCTGCCGCTCTGGCGGCCGCTAACAAAGACCTTCCTCAAAGTGAGACACATCAACAAGCGCGGGGGTGTGGCAAAAATCGGAGTACGCATACATACGCTGCTCCTGCTTTTGTTGTTCATATGTCTAGGGTGGTCGAAAGAAGCAGCTTAGTGTTTCGTTATTGTGGCAAGCCGCATTCGTTATTGTGGCAAGCTCATGATCTCCACCCTGGGATGGAGGGTTGCGAATCTCCGGAAGCCTTCGTGTAGTATGCCGTTGATGGAATCGAAAACAGAGGCGGCAACAAAACCGACGTGCTTGTTGCGCCCGCCCGAAGTTTGACACAAGGAGGGAGAGCTGCGGTGCAGTTTGTCCGCGAGAGCCATGTTCTTGTTTCCCATTTCCCCTGGCCAGGATGTTGGCCTGCGTGGCTTCACTCACGGTGCTCTTTCCCCCTCCCTCTCGTTAGTGCGCCAAGAGGTATCCCCACTCACTATCTTACAATATTCAGCAGTCACTACTTTTGCAATTCTGCGCCCGTTCTTGACTCTCGGTATGTGTGGTTTGCCTGTCTCTCCCCCGTTTTGCTTGTTTTTTTATTTTTTTTTTCGCCCCCCCCCCCCCCGCGCGCGCAGCCAGACTGGGAAGCTCGCGACGTCAAAGGAAGAATTGTGTACATCAACCACACCACAAGGGTGAGCCTTGTCAGCAAACCTCTTGTTCGTTCTAAGTACATCCCGCCTGGGGTCGGGGGGATATGAAACCCCGCTGTTGCCCGGTGGAAATGGAATTTTCTTTTTTTTTGGGAAGACGAACGGCCAAAGAGGGTGGTGCCGCCAGGCAGCGGCGGCAGGGGGAGGGTTCCATGGAGTATGGGCTAATTCCATCCTCTGCTGCTGTGCGGGTCCTGTTGTTGCTGCACCCTCGCTTTGCTGCGGTGTGTTCACTGGCGCGCGCTTTCATTCCGAAAAGTTCGTTGCTCCCAGATGCTGCACGAATTCGCATTCATAACAGAAGCTGTGGTGTGTGGGAGTACGGCGGTAGAGCGAAAACTGATTTTTTATGTGCACTGCTGTGCGCACGCAGCTTCCCTGTTGGTGATTGAACAACAAGGTAATTGGTGTCGTCCATGAAGGCACCGGCAAAGCGTTTGCTGCGCATGTAAACACACATGATGGCAAAAAACAACGACCACCTGGCCCAACGTTGGGCAACGCTGCTGACAAGGCCAATGCCGATCATACCACCTCGCTACTGCTGTACCATCTTCTGCTCTCCATTTGGGTAAAGAAGTAAGCTTGTAGTATGCCTCATGGCACTCGAGTAACACGGCGGACTGCTGTATGATCGGTTTAAAAAACTTCGATATCGACAATTAGCAAGTTCTTCTTACACCACGGACCATCGCGTCAGCAGTCCGGGCACAGCAGTGTCGCTAACAGGAGCCGTGCCCTGTTGGAACGGCTTCATCTGCTGTTCGAGAGAATACTGTCCCCCAATGGGCCGGGTTGTGTTCCTGCAGCAGCAGACTTCGACTTTTTCACAGAGTGGGAAAAAAGGAAAATCTGATATTTGTTGATCCTGCTGTGCACACCTCTTTGTCCTAAATACATAAACGTCGACTTCAACAAGGGAAGCCAGCGCATGCCCGTTCTGTTGCTGTCATTATACATGTCATCGATCCGTGGCACTGCAGCAGTGTATTGTGCACGACAAAAATTGGTGTGCAATATTTTTGCTAACGGTCCGCTGCGGTGTAATTGTGTTGTACGACGTTCTGCGCTCTCATGATTGTGTGTATAGAGTCTTGTTGGAAATGAAACCCTTGGTTTTGACACACGATACATGAACACACACACACCCCGCGTCGCGCGTTCAAAACCAGACCACGCAATGGAGCAAGCCCAAGTTTTCGAGCAAGAAGGGAGTGGCCACGGCGGAGCCGGTGGCCAGTGCGCCCAGCAAGAGTGCGCCCAGCAAGAGTGCGTCCGGCAGGGCTAACGGGGGCGCCGCCGCCGGTCCCGCTGGCGGGGGCAGCAAAGCAGCAGGGCCCGTGACGGCAACACCAACCCGCCTGAGGGGAGCGAACTTTAACAACAGCGTTCCCGGGAGCAACTTACCGGCCCCCGCCGGCGTCGCGTCCCGCGCGGTCACCACGGTATCATCGCCGTTGCCCGCAGGTGAGGCGACCGCCGCGGTCTCTACGAGAGAGAGAGCTCAACCATCTCTGTGTCCTCCTTTATAGCAGCAGATGCACACCCTTGTGGTTTGTAGTACATACAGCGTTCCCGTTGGTGTAACATTTGTTATGAACCGCCAAGATTTGGGTTTGGTCATGCGCTCAAACACGTCCGCTGTATGGGGTGAAGCTTGCAAGCGTTCTGCTGCTCTGCTGTTTTGGACATTGTGGGTATTCCGTGGTGTTCGTAGGAATTCCCGCGGCGTTGCTGTTGCTGTTGCCGCCGCCGCCGCCTTAATCATGAGGATTTGCAATTGTTTAGGCCTTGTTGATTTTGGCACGCCGTTTGAGAAAGAAGACCGACCACAATCGCGTGTTGGATCGTGATCGATTTTTTGTCAGGAATCTCAAGGGCGTGGAATGCGCCCGTGTGTTTAGTTTTAGCATGGCCCGCGCTACCCCGCTGACCAATGAAAATACGTCAGTCTCAGTTCGGCTAAAAACATACTTACCATATGCTTGGTTGTTGGTGACTTGTTTTCCTCCTCGCTCGCGTGTGTATTTTTTCAGGTTGGGAGAGCAAGATTATCGATGGGAGGGTGGTGTACATCGATCACGCTAACCAGGTGAGGAACGTGAAGTGAAAAATATGATACAGCGGAAGGGGTCCCTGTTTAATGCCGCCTATTTCAAGCTGGTTGCCCTGTTTCAGGCCGGTGAAATCGCTTCGCACAGAAGGAATATTCAAGTTGTGTCGTACTCTGAATTGTGCCGGGTGTCCGATATAAGGCCGGAGCTTTCCCTTGAACCAAAGCTGCCTCACTCAGGGACTTCTGCTTCGATATACGGTCGGGGTTGCTGTTGCCCTTGAACCGTCGCAGCGTTACACAAGGGCCTCTGTGTACCAAGTACAACAGCAATGTGTTGGTTCATGGTCGTGTGAATGTGGGTACGGCGGTGGCTGTGCCCCGTGTTGCAGGTTGTCGTTAACGTTGTCGGACCGCGAACGTTTTGCATTCCTTACGCTCAACCGGAGCAGTCGTCGACGAAATCACCAAATACTGCACATATCACGTCTTGCTTTCATCAGCAGAACTTGTCCCTGCCTGAACCATCTACAGCAGTAGCACTCCCGAGTTTGCCACCATTGTACCCAGCTTTTGTCCTCTCAGACCTGCCACTCCATCGCTTGCAACGTATGGTACGGTTGCACTCTCTCGCACAAACGTGATTTGTGTCGTTTCAGAGAACCTCCTTCGAGCGACCCCGCGGGCAGGCCGGAGGGTTGCCCCAGAAGCCAAGGCCTCTTAGCGCGAGACGCCAGATGGGCGTTGGGGTTGATGGCGAGCTGGTGCCACACTCCAACGGCGCTGAGACAAACCTGGGTAGGTACATCGCTGGTGCAGGGGTGCATGCGCAGTTGGGGGGGGGTTGCTGGTTGTACCCAGTCATCTCCGCTCCGCGGATATGTGCATCCCTCTACCGGGAGTTGTCCGACGTATTTGGTACCTACAGCAGTTGGGCGTTTGGACGTACCAAACAATAGGAAGAATGACGGGAGGCTCCTGTGTGGCCTTCTCCCCGAGTGACCCCGGCTGATGCTTCCGAAAAAACAAAACCGGGACGTGCAAAAGTTGACTTACAGGATGACGTAAATAGGACGCCACACACCACACACACGTGTAAGCGTCTTCCCTTCGTGCTTCCTAAGGTGCCGCACTATGTTCTGTTGGCAATCGACGCGCTTCTCTTGGCAGCAGCAGCAGCAGCAGCAGCAGCAGCACCACACAGAGCAGTAGAAGCAGAAGTAGACGGCGTAGGACGCACACGACAGCGGTGTAGGTTACGCCGTCCTCGTTTTTTTTTTTAAGCCTCGCCGTTTCTAGGATTAGCCGTGTGTACCCCGGTACGCACAAAGAGAAGTTGCGTGATTTGATGAGCTGGTTCATGTGGACCGTTGTGCTGCTGTTGCACTCTGCGGTGCCTCTTTTGTTATGTTTTGGCTCTCGTTTTTTGTCGTTTTTTCTGGCTGTTCTGAGGCTGTTCACTGCTAAAACGTTTCGCCGTGTGTTTTGGGCTGCGCACATGTTCTTGCTGTTGTGAGGTTGTTCACTGGTAAACCATTTACGCTGTGTGTGGGGGGCTGCACGTTGCTGCCGCTGCTGCTTCGATTGTGCAGGTTCTTCCCGGGGGAGTCATCGGAGCGGACACCTGGCAGACCCTATCTACGCCTCAAACGCGAGTTCTGCCGTCGGAGACTCGCCGCTTCCGCCGGGTTAGTCCGCCCCCCGTCGTCAGTCATTCCACAAAGTTCTTGCTGGATGTGGTTATTTTCCAACTCCCGGCTTTTGTGCATGTTTTCACGTTTTGTTCGGTTTCGTGTTTTTTTTTTGTTTTTTACGTTTTATTGCCGATCGGTCCAGATGCTTTTTTTCGAAACCTTGCCTGAAATTTTCAAATCTATTATTGTGCACCGCGCGCAGGCTGGGGGAGGAGCGTCACCCCTAACGGGGAGCTTTACTACGTTAACCACGTGTCGAAGACTACCACATGGTCGAGGCCACAGTGGACGGCCGGCTCGGATGGCGACGAGGAATGTGAGAGCCGAGACACAAAAACGCTCTCTGGTTGCTTGAAATAATGTCTTTGGTGCTCTCACCCAAAGGGGGAAAAGAGGGGCAAAAAGACGAAAACCCAAGAGACCGAACGAAGATATGGGAAACACGAACTTGACAAAGAGGGAAAAGAGGGGCAAAAAAGGTTGTACAGTAGAACGAGGTACAAAACCTTGGGGAAGGAGGCATGTCTTTTGTTCTCAAATGCCTTTCTCGTATCTCCCCTCTAAAACCCAACCCGGGGTACCGAGCCCGGGGTGTGGACCCTGTCCCATCGATCTCCGCAGGCAGCCCTCAGCTTGATCGACACTTCGTTCGTTTGTTTGTTTGTTTTTTCGGGGTTGGCAGCGGTTCATGGGGACGGGGCGAGAAATCCAGAAAGCCTCGCGAGCATCAAGAGCGGAAAGAGCACAAGGAGCAGGCGAGGCGAAATGCTGGGAAAGTTCGCCGAGTCTGCGGAGCCTCCCCTGCCCCCAGGTTTGCCCCTACCACAGCTCTCGAAGCGCGTGTGTAAGGAGCACCGAATTCGTCCTGTACGGCAGCATTTCGCGGCAGTGGCGGGCGGTTGGATCCTATCGCGGTTGGATGGCAGTTCCTCCCTGGTTTTCCTCACTCTGCTGCTGTCAGTATCTTGGCGTCTCCAAACTCGCTTTGTGTGCCCTTTTCGCGCTCAGTTTTTGTTTTTCTTCAGCGCGCTTGATTGTGGAACGAAAGCAGTTGAACGCGATGAAGGTCCACCACCAATCTGGGGAAGAGCAGGTGCATGTGTTCGCCCTCGGTTCTCATGGTTGCGATCGACGGGCTGGCTGTCTGCTGTGCTTTTTCCTTGTATCGCAGGGTGGGAGGAGCGCATGTCCGCAGAGGGGAAGGTGTTCTACATGAACCACAACGACAAGACTACCCACTGGACTCGGCCAGACCCGCCGCCGGTGCAGCCGGACGACTCTCCTGACGATGACGTCCCGCCTGTGGAGAGGGAAGACGTGCAAATGGCGTCTAGATCGATCTCACCAGCGATTGAAACGCCGCCGCCTGACCACCCTAGCAACGGTGACACGGCCGCAACGGCCTCCTCCGCGTTGACCCTCGACTCCCCCGCGCGGCAAGGAGGGGTGGCAGCAGCAACAACCGCAGCAGCGGCAGCAGCAGCAGCAGCAGCAGCAGCAGCAGACGATGGTGTCTTGACCTCTGTGAAGGAACCCCTGCCTAAGGCTACCGGGAGTACCGCCAATGTCGGGGCCGCCGCTGCTACTGTGGTACTAGAGGAGGTGGCGGACTCGTCTCCGGGGCGTGGCGGCTTCGGCGGCGGCGTGGTCACCAACCCCAGGCGGGCCCCTTCGGCTACCGTCGTCGCCGCTGTCGCCGCCGCTGCTGATGATGAGGAGGAGGAGGAGGCGTCCCGCTCGGTCGATGCTCCTTCCCCTACAGCGGCGGCGGCAGCAGCGAGGAAGGAAGAGCCGGGGGCGTCGTCCTCGGGGAAAGCGGCGGAACCGATCGCAGACGATGACGACGATGCCGCGAGAGAGGGAGAAGGAGGAGAAGGGGCGGGGGCGGGGGCGGTGTCTTCCATCGTCAGGTCCGGTCTGTTCGGAGCCACCGTCGTGAGGCCGGGCGGCGGCGGCGGCGGCGGCAGCAGCGGCGACAACAGCTCGAAGACGCCCGCGCTGAATAGGAGCGGCAGCTCCGTCGTGCCTCTGTACGCCAGCAAGGCCGGTGGCGTCGCGGGGGCCGCCGCCGCCGCTGCTGCTGCTGCGGAGAAGTCCAAGCCGGAGCTGGAGAAGCCGGAGGTTGATTCGCTCCCGGAAGGTGCGAAGCGGAGTGGGATGGCGCGGCGGCTGGATTAGCTTCTTTTTTTTTTTTCGATGGACACAATCAACGAATTCGTTTCTACCTACAAATGTAGAGGCAAGATTTGTTTTCCTCACGGTTAGGCTTACTCCTACGGTCAACGAGAATTAACCCGGATGGATTTTTTTTTCAATCCGCATACGAAATCTCCAAAAGCCGGACCTGTCACCACAGCGTGCTCCCTCCCTGATGGTCGGATCGCTACAAAACATTGAAGGCTGTACGCACCACACCCGTGGGCTCCTTTGAAGCCTGTTGTGACTGCTCTGGGATCTGTGTCGGCCGAAAAGCTCAAATCCGCGTAGAAATTTCGTCCACGGCTGTACACGGGAAAAAGGGGTAAACTCCATTTCCGTTTCCGTCGGATTTTTTTTATTTAGTGATTTTTTAATTATTTTTTTGTATTGTTTTGTGTTTTTCCAGGGTGGATTGAGCTCAAATCGGCGACGGGCAAGACGTACTACCAAAACAGCATCTCCAAGACTACCCAATGGAACCGACCGGAACCGACCAAGGCCGTTGCTGCGCTGAAAACGGCCACCTACAACTCCACGTCTTCTCCTGCCGTAGAAGGAGCAGCAGGTAAGACAAGAGATGCGAGACCCACAGACAGACTGACAAATAAAGTAGACGCGTAGGGAGGGGCAGTAGGTTTGGCAAGAAAAGGGAGAACCATACACCGGCAAAACACTTGGTAAAAAGCAGAGACGATAAAGGGGGGCAACACGTGAGGTGCTGTCTTGAAACTTGTTGGAAGAAAGAAGAAGATTTGGCTTGTGAACCGGGAGGCTCGAAGCTCTTGAATACTTCATGCGGTGGTTTATACCCTCTTCCGCAAGTCTCTGGCTTGGCTGGCTAACCCTTGCCCGCGAAATAGCGTCCCGCCACCATCTCTACGCTGCCACTCCCGAACTCGTCTTGTACCTCTGCCACCTGCGTGTGTAACACCTCTCCTGCGTGTATCTATCCCGAGTAGCTGAAGCAGGGTGGGAGAAGGTCATGACCGCAGACGGACGACCGTACTTCCAGAACACCATCACAAAGACAACCTCCTGGCAGCTGCCAGAGGGCTGGGTGGAGCCAGGAGCAGCGGCTGCATCGACGGAGGCTGAGACAACGGTGGCCGGCCACGGGAGCTTCTTCAAGAGCGGCGGAGGAGGTTCCGCCGCCACGGTTAAGGAGCTGGGGGTGGAGGCCCCAGCGGAGACAGACGCTGTGGCCGTTGCGCCTACTCCCATCGGGCGTCTAGGTAAGGGGAGGGCAGCCATAAGAAAGGAGGGCCGGTTTCCGGCAAGAAGAAGTAAATGTTTGCGTGGGGGCTACGGCGCAAATTTTAGTTGTTAGGGGGGCTGAATAGGGCGTAGCGAAGCGCCTTGCCGTTTAACGGGGATGGCTACGGTGGTGGCGATGTTGGTCTGTCGGGCGTTTGGAGGCAACGGGTTTCCAGTTGCGCGGTCATGTGTTGGAGAGCGGGCGGGCGGGCGGGGCACACAAACAGGGCGTTAGGTTGTTCGTGAAGGGTGTAGGTATAACGCTTGCGTCCGTCCAGGCGTGATTCTGGTGTGGCGGTAGGTGATGTTGCCGATCCGGTTGCAGAGCTGGCTCTTTTCGGGCTGCGGTCGTCGGCAATTGGCTCTGCTTCGTGCACCTCCTTGCCCACTTGATGTCTGTCTAGAAAAGCTTCTCTCGGCTACAGTCGTCGGTCTGCTCTATTGTAGAACACGTCGATCGGCTCGCGACTGGTTTGAGGCCTGACGTGGTGGGAGGAGGGGGGGGGGGGGGGGTCTCCCGAGTTGGCAACGACGACTTCCTATTTCTCGGGGCCTCTGCTCTAGACTCGTGGACGTTGATACGTTTTGTTGCTCTGCTCTCTCTGCGTCTTGGTGTCTTCGTCGGTCGTTGAGCTTGTTACGTTTCGTCGTCGTTTTAACCTCGTGGGGCATGTTGCCTTATTTCCGCGGTCGCTTGCCACAAAAATGTTTTTTGTTTGGTGCAGGTGGGCCGGCTGCGTCGTCCACGAGATCGACTCCTGTACCAAAGGCAGAGGCGCAAGAGGCGCCGCTACCCCCAGGTTTGTTACAACCACGGCGCCCCCTTGAAGGCTCGGTTACGACTGTCGAGTCTAGGCACGCCTCGCAAGCACCGAAAACCGGAGCCCGCGACACGACAGCAGTGTAGCCCCCAGCAGTAGAGCTGCTGGACGGATCGCGAGAAATTCACATGGATGAACACCACCCCCAATTCCTGGTTCATGCTTGTGAAATGTAGCATTGGCCGGCGAAAACCCGGCAGATCGCTCCGTCCCGGCATTGAAGGGATGCAAGGTCTAATGACTACGGCATAGTATGAATATCCCTGATATCTGATGTTGAGTACCACCCCCCCCCCCGTCCTTCCATCGCTCTCCGTCACGGTAAGGTTTTTTTCCGGGTGTGAGGTCGATATGTGATGGTGAGTACGACCCCCCCGGTTTTTCCATCGCTCTCCGTCACGGTACGGTTATTTTCCGGGTGTGGGGTCGAAATCTGATGGTGAGTACGAACCCCCCCCCCCCCCGCGTTTTTCCATTGTTTTTCGTGAAGGGACGGGCCCTTTCCCCA